TCAGGCGGGGTAAAGTTTTTATTATAGTAGAGGTTTGGATGAGGGGATTTCTGAGGGTTCAGGAGCCTGATTGGCTGACAATTGTCTAGGAGTATCTGTAAAACAGAAATAGGTGTGTGCTAGACTCAGAGACACCTGGCCACCTTATCTAATCTTACCTAATGGATGGAATGTTTGGGATGTCAGGCACTTCCACCTAGATGCAGGCCCTCCCTGGGTGGGGTCAGCTTATGGCTTTTCCTAGGTCTGGGTGTTGCCTGCCAGTAAGCCTGTGACTGAAGCTGTGTGTGGGCCTCTAATAGACCTGTCATGGCAGCTGTGTGGTCAAGCTGTTTTGGGCCCCCTGCATTATACAATGTATGATGTCAGATCAGGGCAATTGCTGTATCCCACTTGTACCATGTATCATTTATCTGTGTAGGGAACATTTAGAATCCTATCTACTGGTTATATTTTTATTTTTAATTAATTAATTTTTTTTTAGAGTTTCATACATGAATTACAATAGACGAGTCTGGAACCATCATGATTACTGATGTTATCTGGATCCCTGATAATCCCTTGGTCTCATCTCATTGCCTTACCTTTCTAGTCCCACTCTGTCTACTTTGGCTCCTTTATGGTTGTTCCATTGTGCTGGAAATGCTCCCCTCCTAGGCTCTTTGTTCAAGCCATATGCTCTTCTGGATGCTTCTCCTGCGTAGCTCTGAGACTTGCTCTTCTCTTGTGCTTTGCTGACTTGTTAGCACCTCAGGGTTCTTTTCCGATCAATCGCTTTAGCTGATATCCCACAGCGATCCATTTCTCCTACTCTGTTGTAGCATTCGCTTTTGTTCTTCACTGTTTCAGGTGTATCTGTCTGCAGCTCTACTCTCCAAACTTCCTTCAAGACTTTTCCAGTTTCTGTAACTGACCAGGCTATCATTGGTGGAACAAACTAATCTTGGAAGTGATGAGGAACAGGCTAGGAGCATCCAGACTGTGAAAGCACCCCTATAATCAAATGAAAACACTGACCTCTTTTCTAAATAACATTCAATGCCTGCTGTTTATGTTGGGAAGTTAAAACATTATTAATAATTCTTGTTTTTTTATTTCCCAAGTCACTATAAACACATGCAACATCTGATAATGGCAGATTGTTTGTTCTTGAAGATAACACACGCTGAAAGTCACGCACCACGATAAAATTGAAACTATGCATATATACAAATAGGGTGAACATGTAGATGGTTATTTTACATGATACTTGGACATGAACTTGTAATCTATATAATTCATGCTCAGAAATTGAGTAAGCAAGTTAAAAAACCAATGCAGAGATCCTCATGTTCTAAGGAGCTTAAAATGTTGTCCTTGTTATCATAGCTGCCCTATGCTCCTACTCTAGGTATTTATCTGTCTGATAGAATTAATAAAATTAAGCACCATGGGTGCATCAGGCATGGCCTCTGCTTTTTCTTTTTAGAAGCCAGCCATGAGGTTCTTTACAGCAGATGGAAGGACAGGAGCAACCATGGGCTGACTTGACTTTATTTGCATTTAACTGTTTTTTTCTGTCTTGTGAAGGCATGTTTCTACTTTTCAGTGTTAAATGGTACTGGTGGGGAATATTCATACCCATCTGCCTTTCCCAAGACTTTCCTATCCACCATTAGCATTGGCAGAAGGCAGATAGATCTTTCCAGAAGCTGGGGTAGCCTGGCTTAGCAGAGCCTGTCCTGGAGCCCTTCTTAGGCCACCAGTATTATCTCATCTGTTTCACAGCAAAACATTCTTATTTGTAAATTCTTAGACCTTTGAAAAGAATAAAATGCCCCCCTTTTCTTAAAAAATGGTTAGGGAGGATATTTTTTCTTCTTGTGACCCTAATGGGAATCTCGTTAAATGATGACGTGATTTTGCTCCGTTACATATTCATGTCATAAATTACCTCAAGACAGACTTTAATAATACACTTGCCATTCTCTTCTCTTAATGTACTGTATGTGGTTGAATATGATGCTCTTTTGATTTATTGTGTAGTTAATTTTTTAGACTTTGAACTACTACTGGTGCTTGCATGGTTTTAAAAATCTTATATCATCTGTTGGTCTTAATTATTCATCGTCTAATAAGAATTTGGTTCAGTTATGAATTTGTTCATAAATAGAGTTGCTCCAATTCCCATGAATCACCTTATAGCCCGCCAAGAACCCCTCTCCTTTCATATGTTAATTTAGAGAGCCATTGATGCTCATTTGCATCATCAATTCAACAATTTAGTAGGCTGAAAGAAGAAAAAGGTTAACTAATTTCTGCCTAATCTTTGTGTGTGTGTGTGTGTGTGTGTGTGTGTGTGTGTGTGTGTGTGTGTGACAAGTTCCTCCTGCTTGGTTGACCTAAGCATCTTCTATCATCCTTGATTCTTCCCTTTACACCCCATCTTCGGTCCAGTCGGAATTCCCATGTCTTTGTTAGATGACAGACCCTTTTCTACCTGCCTCTCAGCCACACCCCTCTGCACTGACAGGCCTCTGCTGTGAAGGTTAGTGCCTCTGGATGAGATAGGAACACAAACCCAGCCTCCCTGAGCCCCTGCACGTATAAGATAAATGTATGGTTTTACCCTGTACCCGACTGCTTGACACAAAGGCTGTGACAGATCAAATCACACGATGGAGAACTTACCACCGTCTTCTGAAAACCCGTAAAAGTCGGAAAGTTTCAGGGATTTCACAGAAGGTTCCCTCTCTTCTTCAGGTCTTCTGTCATGTTGTACACGGCAGCCCTCTCTTTATGTTGTCTCTTTTACTGAGGCTCCTCTCAAGGTGTTTACAGGAATATCCTTCTGGTTCTCTGTTTACCACGCTGTAGGCACAACCCCACTGCGATGTCTTGTTTGTTTGATTGGTTGGTTGGTTTTGATTTTTACGTAAGACTCAGGTTCTCATGAGAAGAGCCTTTACCCTGTTGCACATCTCCTTAGCTCCTTTACGTACTAATTTTTCTAGCTGCCATTGGCTGAACTTGAACTTGGTTTGTGTTTAAAACTGTTTATTGTGTAGCCTTTTTCTCCTTTCTCCGAGGTTTGGGTTGGGAGCAGCTCAGTCTTTAACTAGATGTCTAATCTTCCCTTTCCTTCCACCTGCATTGAATCTAGATAGTAGCTCAGTTCATCTCTCGACTTCTGTATGTTGAGTGGAATATTTTTCTATATCATTAGGGTGGATTTTTCTTTGGTTTTATATCCTTTGAAATATTGTAGCCAGGCTCTAGACAATGTCATCAAATGGCTATTTTTGATAAAAATCTTAATTTATTTATGTATGCTTTGAATAGGTAAAACATGTAGTGTGCCAAAGTCTGAAATTCATATGATTTCTAAAGACATGAAAAGGTAGTAAGTTAGTAATAGTTTAGTGAACCTCCATGTACGACTCATAATATATCAATATTCTGTATCATTTTGGGAACCTTTGGATATCTATCTGGCCAAAAGCTCATTAGGTAGGTACCCCTCACAGGACTATGGGAATCTGCTATATACGCTTTCCTTTTCCCCACTTCCTTCCAGATCTCCCTTACCTCTCTCTACACAACCAACTTCATGTTCTAGCTCTTCATCTCCTCCTCTCAAAAAAAGCCAAAAATCCAAAACAGATAAACTAAAAATATCAAGCATTAAGACAAAACAAACAAACAAATAAAAACAAAAAAATAAAAAACAAACAAACAAAAAACCCAAAACAATAAAACAAAATCGTACAATGAAACATGGAGTCCATTTTGTGTTGGCCAACTGTTCCTGGGCACGAGGCCTGCCTTGAAGTGTGGTTGATATACCAGTGACACTTGATGAGAGAAAACTGACTTCCCCTTTGCCAGTGGCTATCAACTGCAGATAACTTCTTGGTTGGGGTGGGAGTCCATGTCGACTTCTCCCTCTCAGTGCTGGGACGCGGTCGGGCTTGAACCTGTGGAGGCCTCGTGTATGCTACCACAGTCTCTGGGAGTTCATGTGTGCATCGTCAGTCCTGCTGTGTCTGGAAGACACTGTTTCCTTGGAGTCATCCATCCCCAATGGCTCTTACAATATTTCTGCCTCCTATTTTCCATGGATCCCTGAGCCTTGAAGGGAAGGCTTTGATGGAGACATCCCATTTAGAACTGAGTGCTCCACACTCTGTCACTCTCTGCACATTGTCCTGTCGTGGGTCTCCGTGTTTGTTCCCATCTGATGCAAGAGGAAGCTTCTCTGATGGGGGTTGAGTGAGGCACTGATTTCTGAGGTTTCCACTTCATAACCTCAGCTTTTCATTTCCACAAAGTCAGTTTTGATCCTGTCACTTTAACACTGCCCTTTTATTCAGTGAATGTGTCTTAGATTAGTGGTAAAATTACCGTTTCTTCATTCCTTCTGCAATTAATCATTGAAAGAAACTTTATGGTAATTTGTACTTTGAATGGATTCATTAATATTCCCTGATGAATCTTTAAGTAACAGTTGAGAAGAATGAACTATATTTGTTGTTACTGCAATTTTTTTTTTTTTTAAGACAGGATCCTCTATATTCCAAACTGGCCTGGAATCTATGACAATCTTCCTGTCTCAGCTTCCTGAGTGCAGGATTACAGGTGCCCACCATGAGCCTGGCTAAGAAGAATGTTCTCATATTCATGCTGTTATAAAAATTAAGAATAACTTCTGAAGCAGAGATTACAACTCTAAATATTTAAAAATATATCTGAGAGTTCAGTGTGGTAACTCATGCCTATAATTCCAGCAATTGCAAAGCTGAGGCAGGAGGATTGCTGTAAGTCTGGGACCAGCTTATGCTGCACAGTGAGTTCCAGGCTAACCTGGGCTGTGAAGTGAGACTGTTGGAAAACACAGACAAACTTGAAATAACTGTGTAGACATTCTTATGAGATTGGTGTCTCAAGGCTCAGGTATTACTTTGAAATCTTAAGAATGTCCACGCTGGACTTCACATGATGCTACTTTTCTTCTCCTGTAGGTTATTAAGTGTGGTGTGCTGTGATCTGGATGCTCTTCTCTTACTGGAGGCTCAGTATCAAGTATCCAACATGTTACTACATGCTCAGGAAGAAAATACCTTTGAGATCTCCGAGAACCACAGGTTCGGAAACAAAACAAAACAAAAGGCGGCATTAGAATGATACTATCAGCAGTTTTCCTTACAAATGATTTGAAACTAATTTTCTGTATAATTTTTATACTGCCTGAATTACTGCATTAAAACAGCAGAGTAAAAAGCCATTTAAGCGTGAATGTCACAGGAAGATGATGATACACGTTTTTTGGAGAGTGCTACATTTATCCTTTGTTCCTGTTGTCTTAGTATCTTTTCCCTTAGTTTGCAGGAGCTCCTGCCACTTTTCAGTTCCCGTCACTTTGTACAGTGACCCTCTGAGGAAAAGTGCCGGCTGTTCCATCTCTCTTGGGGCCGTTCTGTGCCCCGTTTCCTAATTATGTCAGCTTAGAGTCACGCCTTCTGATTATTTGCCAAGTGAGGTTTTGATCATTTTTATTTTCCTACTAATAAATCACACTTGCCATTACCTCAGTTTGGCTGACATTTATAGAATACACATTCAACAGCTGTTATCACTCTCATGTCTGTAACTCAGATCATAGTAGTGCACTTCCTTCCTGCCCAGGCCACGGACAGTTACATCATTTGATGTTGACGTTTGATATAGAAGGAAAACATTGGTAGTATCAGAATCTATTCATCAGCAATGTGTACGTTGTAGATTTGGGGCACTGTCTCTAGGACACAGGAGAAACTCGTGTCTCATGTCTCCTTGGTTGCGAGCCTAGTCTTCAATGGCTGAGCCATCTCTCCATCTCAGGAGGAGCTTTCCTCCTCCCACCCCCTAAGACAGGGTTTCTCTGTAGCTTTGGAGCCTGTCCTGGAACTCACTCTGTCTGGAACAGACTGGCCTCAAACTCCCAGAGATCCACCTGCCCCTGCCTCCTGAGCACTGAGATTAAAGGTGTGTGCCACCACCGCCCAGCAAGGAGGAGCTTTCCTAAAGATGGTTGTTACTTCAGAAATAAAACATGTCCTAACCATGTTTCTGTAAGTACAGGATCATTCATAAGGAAATACTCTTTTTCTTAGTATTTTTTGATAGCAAAGAAGTGATGATACAAAAAATGAATGTAGCCTTCTGTACTGTAAATATTCTGATAACTAATGTGTTTTGCAGATACCTTTTGTTTCTGTTTGTTTTGTTGTCTTTTTTTTTTCTCTTTGCAATCTAGTGACATGATTTAAAAATCAAACCATATTCAGTTAAGGAGACAGCAGAATTGATGTATATTCTCTTTCAGGGACTTTATAATTGATGGCTTATCAGTAGAGAGAAATCATGTTCTTGTAAGGATTAATCTCATTGGTGGGCCCTTGGAGCGGATTTTGCCTCCAAGGATGCTTGAGAAGGTGAGTGCCATATTTTGACATGTTTTAAAATGAAGTATCCAACTGAAGTGGCACTAAACAACATTTTCCAAGTTTCTCTATACCAGGGTTCAATTTTTGTTGCTTGACAAACTTGCAAAACAGGTAAACACATTCAAAACAAAATAGTAGTGTTGCCTCCGAGAGCTCACGGGTTTCTGGTGAGTGTCCAAGAGCAGTAGATTGTTGTTTTATTACATACTTGTCATTCTTCTGAGTGTCATTGAGTATGTGAATTCTGAAGTCTTTCTCTTTCATGTCCCTTAACTGTTATATTTATTTATGTTTTGCAGTATGGAGTGTGTGTGGTCTTTATGGAGGGTGGTTGTTAAGAAGTTCCTTTCTGTGACTGCCACCCTGGAAAAGATGAGCTACAAATGATTGACAGAAGAAAAATAGTTTTGGGGTGGAGGGGATACAAGGCCTTTTAAAGATTGTATTTTCACTTTCATGAAAAAAAAAATAAACCCATCATTATCAGTTCAAATCACAAGAATAAGTTGTCATAGTCCAGCTTGTAAAATTTCGATGACATTCTGCTTATTGCCTTTTAGGAATAGTGGATTATAATAGCAAATAACTTGATAATTGGGCAGAAAGTTTGGGAATAAAAAAGTCAATTGAAATGAATGATACTCGAGAAAGTATGAAAGTTCAGTATCTTACCCACCTCCTACAGTTACCCGTGCTGTTGTGTTCTTAGGGGGATGACCCGTATCCTTGGCCGATGTTCTCGTCATATCCATTGCCACACTGCTATCTGCCAGAAGTCCCACAAAGTGCTGATGTAAAACAAGGTAAATCTTTTCTACCAACAGATATTCCAATGCTCTTTGTATAGTTCGAGAAAGAGACTTTGAGGAAGGTTAAGTGTTGATCTCCATTCGGCATGGGTGCAGGAATACATGGCTGCCCAGTCCCTCTTAGTTTTCCATCACACTCCCATTGTTGGTTTGACTGGTGTCGGTATGATGGCAAACAAGTACTGCCTGCAGCAAAGGCAGAACAAGTCTGTTCAGTGGCAAGAGATGTTTGGTTTAAAGCCTGGATTAGGCCGGGCGGTGGTGGCGCACGCCTTTAATCCCAGCACTTGGGAGGCAGAGCCAGGTGGATCTCTGTGAGTTCGAGGCCAGCCTGGGCTACCAAGTGAGTTCCAGGAAAAGGCGCAAAGCTACACAGAGAAACCCTGTCTCGAAAAACAAACAAACAAACAAACAAACAAACAAAACAAAACAAAAAAGCCTGGATTAGTAGGAACTGCTCTGACGGCTCAGAAATGAACAGCATCTGTTGCTCTTGCAGAGGACCTGGGTTCAGTTTCCAGCAACCACACGGTGGTTCATAACCACCCGTAACTCCAGTTCTGTGGTCTCTGGCTCCCACTGCTGGTTTCAGGGCATTGGACACACACATGGTACATGAAGGCAAAACACTCATACACATAAAATAAACACATCTTTAAATTTTTTTTTTTTTTTTAGAAAACTGAATCAGTAGCTCCTGGTTAGTTAAATTTTGCCTATGAGGAAGTTTTCTTTATTCACTAGAGTGTTTTTTAAATGACTGCCGTGTTTACTTAAGCTCTGAGTTGAATTATACTGGGAAGTATATTTTATCCCCCTTTGGAGGAATCATGAATAGATGGTTGTTTAACTATTCAGCGTAACATGAGTAAAGCAGACAAATGAGCTTGCTGGGATAGTGTATAATCAAACTACCTTGCCAAACAAAATCTTGTGTCAAAAGAGGAATGTAGCTTTAGTATTCATCTTCTGAGTAATAGAACAACATTTTTAGAAGAGGAGCCATCAGGAAAATGGAAAGAAACACATTATAACTCAGGGAACTGTAAGTGTGGCCTGTGAGGATTTTGAAGGTGGAAGCATCAGTGAGATGAGAGGGTGAGGCTCATACAAAGGACCTAAGTTCGATATAGGATTGCATCACATACTACCAGGGGTTATGCTAAGAGTTCCTAGGCCAAGAAATTCCTGCACGGATGATGAGAGAGTCCACCATCAAACTTTTCACAAAGTATAGAAGTCAGTTCTTACATCAACATCCTGTCCTTTATAATGCCATCAAACTTACACTGGAAAGAAATCATGTGGAAGAGATTGATTTCACATTCACTTAATGCACTTTAAAATTTGGGCTTTGGGTTTCACTCTTGCATGACAAAATCTATTACTTTTTCAGAGACTTGGGAGTGGTATTACGCGTTATTTCAGGAAGAGGCTCTTTCGATGATGCCCTTCAGATGTTTTCATGCTCACTCCCACCCTTCACTGAACCTAGGGCATTTTCAAGCATTTGTTCCATCTGCCTATTCTTCTCTGAGTCTTTCTGGCAGACTATTTGTACTGTGTCTTTCATTCTTTCATCTTCTAGGTTTCAACATTTGTTACCCTATATGCTTGTTTCCTTAATATATGTTTCATGAGTACTGAGTACAAGGATCTTCCCTGGGAATTATAAATAACACATCAATTATAAATAATGTATCAATATCTGTTGTTTTTTTCCCAGTACCTCAACCCTTTTCTTGGTCAGTTTTCCTTGACATAACACTGTTTCCTTTGCTAAGTTTCATTGGGGGAAAAACTTTTATTTATTATGTTTCTGCATAACAGATTTATAGTCAGTTTTATCAGCTGACGTCTACCTTTATTAATTTATTTCCTCAAAAAATATTTTGGGAATTTGAACAGGGGAAATAAAAATTAAAAAATGAGGTATAAATGGACATTTCCCAAGGATAAAAATATCCATCAATGCCTGGGAATCGGTCCTTATGGAAGTATATTTTTACTGTGTTCAGAAGTGATGTATAAAAGCGCAGTGATAGATTCCTGTTCTGTCCAGAAGGTGCCGGGCAGTGGGAGGGTGTTTCCAGGTCGGTTTACTTTCCTGTTCCCTTAGATGTGTGTTCTCAAAACTCTTCTCTCCTTGACCCTTCCCATCGCCATCCTTCCTTAGGTAATCACCACACTTCTCACTGTGCTGGAAATAGAAATGATAGAGAGCAGCCGTGTGGTACTAATACACATCAGCTCCTTTGACTGCCCGCATGCCTGCCTGTTCAGGCCTCCAGTCAGGACTGGGAATGAACTGCCAAAGCTGATTTGCAAAAGCCAATTTCCTCATCCTCCCTGCTTCCCTCCAGGGACAGTGCACCTTACAGTTCTTCATTTCCTCTCCTTTTTAGATCTACATCCTGTGAAGCTACAATGCATCGGTAATTTCCTGAGCCAATTCTTATGATAAATTGTGTGTGTGTGTGTGTGTGTGTGTGTGTGTGTGTGTGTGTGTGTGTATGTGTATTGAGTAAGATAAGCTAGGCAAGGAAAGATATAGACACATATATACCTATGTGTGAATATATTCTGTTTTTCTGGAGGATCCTATGATAGCCTTCAACATTCACAACATAGTTGGATGGAATTCGCCCTTCAGCCTTCATCAATTCTCCTATGATTGCCACAGTTTTTATAAATGTGTACTAACTGTACAGCATAATCACTTTCATTAGGACGTGGTCATAATATTTATTATGTGCTGTGGTAGTTTTCACTCCTCCCCTTGCTTTCTCTTGTCTCTCTCTCCCATTCTGGTCTCCATCCTCTTACAAGTAGCTTTCTCTTTATGTTCTTGTCTTTTTAAAAAAGCTAGATTCTCAATATAAGATAAAATGTGATACTTGTTGTCTTTGTCTGGTGTATTTCACTTACCATGGTGATGTCCTGTTCTAGGTAAATGGCATAATTTTGTTTCTCTCTGTGGTTCAGTAAAACTATTGTGTATATATTCCACTGTATCCTTCATTGGTGGGTATCTTTGTTGGTTCTGTATCTTGGTTTTTATGACTGTCGCTGTGACAAAAATGGATGTACAATATCTCTATAATATACTGACTTAGAGTCCTGTAGGTATATACTCAGGAATGGTGTAGCTGGATCATATAGTACTTTTGTTTTTAGGTTTTAGAGGAACCACCATACTGATTTCTATCGTGTCAGTAGCAGTTTACATTTCTATCAAAAGTGTTTAAGGGTCTCCTCCCACTTCCTCCCCTCTCCAGGTATTAGGAGCTGACTAGCAGGAATGGGAATTGGCTAGAAGGCAAGGTGCTGAGAGGGTCTATAGGATGGAGGACAGTTGGGTCTGCCAGGAGAAATCTGGAGAGTCTACAGAGAGTAGAGAAAGGGAGGCAAGGCAGGACACTGCAGTCGATCTGCTACAGGGCTGGGGTGACAAGGGGAAGCTGGAATTGAGGATAGGTGGGACAGTGAAGATTACCATCCTGATTCCCTGGTCTTCATGCCTGGCGTGTTTCCAGGGAGAGAGGGCCTTGAGTGTTGGCAGGTGAGACAAATTTGCAGGAGAACGGAAAGGTTTGTAAGACACAGGGAAGGCTGTGGAAGATGTTTTGTCCCTTTGGATGGGGGCAGAGGTGGGTAGGGAGTGCAGCAGGTTTTCTGCTGCAGAGCTGGGGATGAGACTGGGGAATTAGAAATGGAGGATGGGAGGGAGAGGGGAAATTACTTACCTGATCCCTGGCTGTAGTGGCCATGGTGTCCAGGGACACACCTCTGTTAACTGATTTTCAAGTCATAAACCGATCTCTTGAGCTTCTCTACTATAACTGAAATTTTGTATCTCTTGACCAACATCTCCTCCAAACCTTGTCCTCCAGCCCTCCATAACTATTATTCACCAGTTTGCTTCAAAGAGCTGAAAATGTTTAAATTTTACAAATAAATGAGGTCAGGCAGTACCCATTTTTCCTTGCCTGACTTACTTTACTAAGCATAAAGCATGAAGTCGACATGAGGTTGACCCGTGTTGTTACAGTGGCAGAGCGTGGGTCTTTTTAAAGCCTAAATTCCCTCCTGCATCTTTCCCATAAGCCAAAAGGGATACTGTTTAATCAACTATGTATTTAAACTTTTGTGTGTGGGGGGCGGGTCTTCCTATTCTTGTGTTTGTTCCTGTATATGTTTGCATGGGAGGAGTAAGGAGGCAGGCGGGGTCTCAGTGGCCTGGAACTTGCCAAGTAGGTTACAGTGACTGGCCTAAAAGCTCCAGGCCTCCTACTGTCTCTGCCTCTTGGATGCTGCAATTACAAGCATGCCACCACGCCCAGCTTTTTTTTCTGTGGATTCTACAGCATGAACTCAGGTCTTTGCACTTTACTGACCGAGCTGTTTCCCAAACTCCATTCTTAAATTTGCAATCCTTTTTCCATCCTTCATTTTATTGCGAAATTCCTCAAGTGGGTATTCTATGTCTACCTACACCTTACGCTATTTTCTGCTGAACCCAGCTTTGCGCTAACCATTAGGCTTTCCCCCCAGCCCTTCCTCTCAGTAGATGTGTCAGCCCCGTCTTTACCCTCATTTTATTGAGACCTAGCAACAGCAGCATTTGGCACAGATAACCCTGCCCTCCCCACTCTCCTCCCTCCAGTACTCAGCGCACCCCCCCCCCCCCCCCCCGCCCCACCCGTTCTTTGGAAACATTTTCCACTTGGCTTGTCTTCTGGAAAATTCAGTTTTCCTCCTGAACTTATGGTAAATATGCCTCTGTATCTTTTTAAAAAATTTTTTATCTTTCACATCTTCTCAACTATTAAACTTGGGAGTGCGCTGGGGCTCAGTCCTTAGTGGCCTTCACTTTTACTGGCCATTTTACTGTTGCGAGGGTCTCAGCTTGTCTTGTCACCTAGGCCAGCGGCTGTCAGGCTGCTATCTCAGCTCTTACCTCCGCTTCAAGTTCCGGGCTCCTGGGTCTGTTTTCGTGACATCTCTCTAGGACGGAGGATGGTAAGCGCATCAGCCTTAACACGACCGAGATCAATCTCTGACACTCTCTTCAAATCTGTTCCTTTGATATTCTTCCCCATTTCAGAAATGGCAGCTTTTGTGCTCCATTTCTTCAGGCAATAAGCCTAAAGGCTATTTTGGAGTTTTCCCTTCCTTTAAGCCCCGACAAGTGATCTGACAGCAAGTCCTCTTGACTCTACAGATCTAAAATAAAACCTCTCTTGCCTCGTCCAGCCTGGCTGTATTCAGTCTGTTCTCTCAGCAGCTAGAATGATGCTTCCCAAACACTCATTGGATCAGGTTACTCTTGTAAGCAAACTCTTTCTCTGATACCATAGCAGGCTTGGGTCTGTGTCAGAGCCCTCCCGACACATGCTTTGTTGTAAGAAGTACGGTACAATTCTAGCATTATTTTAGCCCCTTGCCCCCATATGATTGGAACTTGTTTGCATTGTGTTTCCATTTGTGAATAACCACACACGTTTGGACCGGAAATTCGTCCTAATTTGGTAGTGGTACCCGGCGTATCGTCCTAGGAAGACTGGTCCTTAACTTGCTGTGGTTCTCATTAGGAAGGAAATGTTTGAAGCAGCAGTGTTCATGCGAAGTTACTTCAGGAAGAGATTTTGCAAAGACATATTAAGTTCATAATTTCTGTATATCATTCTGATATTCTTGATATCTATGCCATGATTGTAGATGAGGGAGGAAAACAGAAAATGCCAGAGGATCTGAAAATTATGTCTAGTTTTTTCTCAGACATTGAGTATGGTGATCATAGTTCTGTGAACTTAATGAGAAAAATGGAACCAAGTTCACGTTCTAAAAGGGATAAATCAGAACTAGTGTGGTTGAAACAATTAACTAAACATTAATTGTACAACACTGTGCTCAAGCTAATGGTACTTTAAGACATGAAAGTTATTTTAATAGCAGGAGTCATTTATTTTGCATTTTGCTTTTTGATTCAAATTGATGAGTCATTACTCATCAATTCTGACAGGTGTTAGGTTAGTCATCATTTGCACACAAAATTTTAGGATGTTATTTCATTGTTGAAAAAAACTTCATTTCACTTATGTGCACACGATAAACAGATAGTCATTTACCTCCCAGCTTCTAGCTTTATCCTACTTCCTACAGTTAGCATCTCTCGTAGGTTACATTGCCTCCTTTGGCTTCATGGCATCAGTAGAAGCTGTGAGATGATTCATCTCTATAAATATGAATCTGGAGACATTACCTAGTTCAGCTAGTTCTATTTATGAACATTTCAATGCAACATTATTAAAATTTAAGTGGCCCTTTAAAAGCTATTAATGAATAACTTCCATGTGTATGTGTGCACATACACTTGTTTTTAGCACAGAGCATAAAATGCAAGCATTACATTGCATATGTTAGCAGTAATTAATACTTGGAAAATACCCGAACTATTCTAATGTAATTTATTTTGCTCACTCTGCAGAAGACGAACAGGGGATTGTGTGATAGCCACAAAGCAGGTGCAGGTTAGCATGTTAGGGGCTGCCAGCTGGAACTGCTGGAGGCTAGCCCATTGCTGGAACTGCTGGAGGCTAGCCCATTGCTGGAACTGCTGGAGGCTAGCCCATAGCTGGAACTGTTGGAGGCTAGCCCATAGCTGGAACTGTTGGAGGCTAGCCCATTGCTGGAAATGCTGGAGGCTAGCTCATAGCTGGAACTGTTGGAGGCTAGCCCATAGCTGGAACTGCTGGAGGCTAGTCCATAGCTGGAACTACTGGAGGCTAGCTCGTAGCTGGAACTGTTGGAGGCTAGTCCATAGCTGGAACTGTTGGAGGCTAGCCCATAGCTGGAACTGCTGGAGGCTAGCCCATTGCTGGAACTGCTGGAGGCTAGCCCGTAGCTGGAACTGTTGGAGGCTAGCCCGTAGCTGGAACTGCTGGAGGCTAGCCCATAGTGCCCTTCCTGCCTGCAACAGGATGCCTGTAAGATGGTATTCTGACTTGCTCGTCTTTATGCTCTAAGCTAGATTCCCTCAGGAGTTGTGAGGACCTGTTCACCAGTCTGCTCTACTTCATTCTCTTTTCATGGATGAAGACTTCTTTTCTGTGAGAGGTGAGGGAGATGTAGACTTCCCCTGCTGAAACTGAAAAAATAGTCTGAGGAATTGAGTAGCATACTCCAGATATTGAAGGCATTAGAGAGAGAGATATCTCAGAAAAATAAGAAATTTTCTGTTTTTCTGTCTGGCATCTTTTATTATTTTTAAAAATTACTTTTATTCCAGCTGAAGAGAGGGATTAATGGGTAAAGTACTTGCTGAGCAAGTATGAGGCTCTAAGTTTGGATCCTTAGTCACCACATAGAAACTGGGTGTAATGGCACACGTATGTTGGAAGAAATAGAGAGAGCTATATCCTGTGGACCCAGG